AACCAAGCTAAATTCATACTAATGACTGCATTCTGCAAGAATGCACATGTTAGTCTGCTCAGGCTACAATAACAAGACTTCACAGAATGAGTAGCACAAACAACAGAATTAATTTTCTCGCAGTTCTAGAGGCATAAATCCAAGACCAAGGTTCTGGCCAATTCACTTTCTGGGGAAGTCACTTCCCGTCTTGAAAACAGCTGCCATCTAGCTACTTCCCCACATAGCCTCTTCTTGGTGCATATTCAGAGGTGGGTGGCAGGGAAGAAAGTACAAGCTTATAAGGAGTTCTTGGGTGTCTCTGCTTATAAGGACACTACTCCTATTGATCAAGCCTCCACTCTTTTTTTTTTTTTAGTTCTTTTTTTTTTTTTAAGAGAGAGAGAGAGAGAGAGAGAATTTTTTAATGTTTATTTTTTAGTTTTCGGTGGACACAACATCTTTGTTTGTATGTGGTGCTGAGGATCAAACCCAGGCGGCACGCATGCCAGGCCAGCGCGCTACCGCTTGAGCCACATCCCCAGCCCCCCACAATTTTTTTTTAATGGGGAAAAAGCAAGCTGTTTGTAAGAAACACACTTTAGTTTTTTTAAAGACTAGCTGAAGTTAAGGGATCAAAAAGCTCCTTCAAACACTAGACATAAGAAAGTATGTATGGTTATGTTAATATCAGACAATGTAGAATTAAAACCAAGAGCATTACTGAAGAAAAATATTTTTTGTTTTGTTTTGTATTGTTACTAAGGATAGAATCCAGAGGTGCTTAACCACTGAGCAACATCCCCAACACTTTTTTTTTAATTTTGTAATATTTACTTATTTTTTTTAGTTTTTCGGTGGACACATCTTCATTTTATTTTTATGAGGTGCTGAGGATCCAACCCAGCGCCCTGCACATGCCAGGCAAGCGCGCTACTGCTTGAGCCACATCCCAGCCCCCCCCCAACACTTTTTCTTTTTTATTTTGACACCTGGTCTTACTAAGTTGCTTAGGGTCTCGCTTTGAACTTGCAATCTTCCTGCCTCAGCCTCCCAAGTGGCTGGGGTTACAGGCATATGCCACTGCACCAGGTAAAAGATAAGTTTTAGCATGATTAAAAGATCAATTTATCCAAAAGACATAACAATCCTAAATATATACTTAATAGAGAGCTTCAAAATACTTATAGCAAAAATTACAGAACCAATTGTCTACAAGGTGCCTCTCCTCCCACATACCCCTGCCTTCCCCCACCTCCTGCTGGGGTGGTATCAACGAAGACCCAGCGGAGAACCAAGATTTCACCCCTACCTGGTGGTAAGGGACCCACCACATACACAGTGTCAGTGGAGACCACAAAGAGATCCTAGACTTCTGTCCTATCCACTGATAATGATGTGCCCCTTCTTCCTCCCTGTGTCAGAGGAGGGTGCGTGGGAAACTGGAGCTTTCACTGTCATCCAGTGGTAACAAGTGCCTCCACCTCACCCCAAGTACAGGGCACAGAGAGAGCAATAACAAGGATCCTCCACACCCACCAAGGGAGGTGTCAATGGAGGTTTTGTGGAGGAACCTGAAATCCCCCCTCTGCCCAGCAGTAATGAAGTACTCCTCCCTCTGTCCAGAGCATCAAAGGAGGTCAAATGGGGAACATGGACCTTCATTCCCACCTAATGAAGCCAGAATTAGACAGGCAGTCAGTATAGATAGGTAAATCGAGTCAGGTCGGATCAAGGAGTCCAATTTTGAGTGAGTCCAGCAAGTTGGAGACTGTCCCCTGAGGGATTGAAATGTTAATTCCTTCAGAGCCCTTCCCCCACCCTTATCAAGAACCTCCCCCTGCTCCAACCTGTGGCTAAGGTAACCTGTCCCAGGAATTGCCCCTCCCTACAGAGAGCTATAAGGTTGTTAATTGATGTGTCCTGGGCTGCTCTATCCTGCCAATCCCCCTTCAGCCCACCTGTTTCCCACCTTTTGGCCATCCCACCGAGCATTTCCTAGGCCTAGTCAAATGCCTAGTCACATAAGCAGGAAGGAGAAAGATAATGGAAGAGGGCAGGAGAACAAAGGAAGCCTAGGATGTATAAAAAGGGCAGAACTCCTCGCTTCTTGGGATACCAGGATACCAGCTATGGCCCCCTTCTCCCTCCAGGAGAAGTCTATGTGACCCCTTTTTAAATAAACCCTGTTAATAAGCTTGCCTTGGTGTGCTTCTCTAATGTTCAAACTTCAACATGTGGGGAAGCAGAACTCGTCAACCATAACCGGTGGTATCACTACTAGTAAGAAAGAAACACTTCCTTCCCCCCATGACACAATGTCAGAGAAGGCCTGCTTAAAAAAAAAAAAAAATTAAATACATCTGAAGTTTCATGACACAGTGCCCAAAATATAATGCAAAATCACACATCATACCAATAATAAAGAAAATTTCAACTTGAGTGATAAAAAAAAAATTAACCAACAGATGCCAACACGGAGATGACAGATTTTGGAATTTTTAACAAGGATTTTAAAGCAGCCATCCTAAAAATGCTTCAAGGAACAATTACAAACATGCTTGAAACAAATGAGGAAAAAAAAAAAAAAAGAATATCTCAACAAAGAAAAAGCAGTTATATGGAACCACCAAATGGAAATTTTAGAACTGGAAAATTCAATAACCAAAATAAAAAAACTCAATGATGAGCTCAATGGCAGACCTATATGGTTTCGTTTGTATATATGAGTTAAGGTTTAGTCAGAGACAAAGAACTCCTAGGATCTAGATATAATAAGAGCTGTATTTTAGGGATTTTTCAACTTATGAAGCCAACATAGTACTGCTACCCAAAACTAAAATATTGGAAATATAATTTAAGAAAAGTATAGGCCAATATTCCTCATGCAAACAGATAGGAAAATTCTTTTTTTTTTTTTTTTAGAGAGAGAGAGAGAATCTTAATATTTATTTTTCAGTTTTTGGCGGACACAACATCATTGTTTGTATGTGGTGCTGAGGATCGAACCTGGGCCGCACGCATGCCAAGCGAGCGCGCTACCGCTTGAGCCACATCCCCAGCCCTAGGAAAATTCTTAACACTTCAGTGAATCAAATGCAGCAATTTATACTAAAGTTAATTCAAACATGACTAACCAAGTAAGGTTTACCCCAGGAAAGCAGTTTAGTTTGACATTATAGACACATTTGCAAAAGAATTTGCAAAAACACATCATATTTATAAAAGAAAAACTATGCTTATCTCACTAGATGCAGAACATATGACAAAATTCAATATCCACCTATGATTTAAAAATAGAAAACATTTAGCAAACAGATGAGAAGGAATTTCCTCAGTTTGATAAAGAATATCTACAGGGCTGGGGTTGAGGCTCAAGGGTAAAGTGCTCGCCTAGCACTCGGGAGGCCCTGGGTTAGATCCTCAGCACCACATATAAATAAATAAAATAAAGGTATTGTATCAAACCACAACTAAAAAATAAATATTAAAAAAAAAGAATATCTACAAAAATCCTACAGCTAACATCATATTTAATGATGTAACATTAAACCCTATTCCCCTAAGATCAGGAACAAGGCAAGGGTGTCTATTCTCTATTCTCACCAAGTCTATTCAGCATCGTAGTACTAGCCAATAAAACAACACAAGAAGGTCTGGGGATGTAGCTTGGTGGTAGAGTGCTGGTTCCCTGACATCCGAGACTTTGGGTTTGACCCCCAACACCACACACACACACACACACACACACACACACACACACACACACTATTTAAGAAAAAGAAGCAAACAGTATAAATATCAGGAACAAAGCCAAACCATCATTATTCACAGGTCACATTACTGTATATGTAGAAAGCCTTATAGCATCTTTTTTGAGCCTCACTGAATCTTAAAAATATATATACTAGAAGTGATAAGTTAGCAGCATTGCAGGATGCAAATATGATATTTAAAAATCAATTGTTTTTTCTATATGTTAGCAATTATCAATTATAAAAGTAAAAGTTAATAGCATTTAATATCAGTATAAAAAGTCAATGCCTAAGAAAAAATCTAATGAAAGGTGTGTAAGATCTTTCCATTGGAAATTATAAAACATTGTTTTGTTGTTTTTCCCTTACTGGGATTGACCTGAGCTATATTCCAAGTCTTTTAATTTGAGACAAGGTCTTCCTAAGTAGCTGAGGCTGGCCTTGACATTTCAGTCTTTCTGCCTCAGTCTTCTGAGTAGCTGGCATTACAGGCATGTGCCACCATATTCCAGTCCTGAAATAAATTTTTTAAAATTTATTTTTAATTTTTTTAGTTGTTGATGAGACTTTTTTTTTTTTAACTGTGGTGCTGAGAATCAAGCCCAGTGCCTCACACAAGCTAGGCCAGCGCTCTACCATGAGCTACAACCCCAGCCCCTGAAAGAAATTTTAAAAGACCTAAATAAATGGAGAGAAATGCTGTGTTCATGGATTGGAAGGCTTAAATATTGTTATGACGGCACTCTATCTGCATTGATAGATTCAACACTATCCCTATCAAAATTTCAATAGACTTTTGAAAATAGATATATGAGCTAAATTTAACAGATACATGAAAATACAAAAATCCAAAATACCCAAAAGTTCAAGGCTAGCCTGGGAAACTTAGCAAGACCCCATCTCAAAATTAAAAAATTTAAAAAAAGCTTAAACTATAGCTCAGTGGTACAGTACCAATGGGGTCAATCTCTAGTAACAACAACAAAAAAAAGGTATTTGGGGCTGGGGATGTAGCTCAGCGGTAGAATGCTCGCCCAACACGTGAGAGGCCCTGGGTTCAATCCTCGCACCACATAAAAATAAATAAATAAAATAAAGGTATAAAAAGGTGTTCATCTCAACAACCAACAGACATGATAAGGAAGAGTTGGATAGTTTATTTCACATCATCCAAGCTACAGGCAAGGCAGGGACAAGGAAAAGGAGTACAGAGCTGGCCCCAAATCTTTCTTTTCTCATTTCTTACAAAATTGAGGGCCAACCTATTCAAGATTTGGGGGAATGGTCATAAGAAGGATTTAGGTGAATGGATAACTTGGCAGATGTATAATTCTTTTGCTCACGATCCAGGAACTTCTGTTGGTTGGTTTCTGATATAGTCTGATCATTCAGAGTGTCTTTCACTGAGCCGCCACTCATACTGCAGGACCCGGTGTGAGAGGGATAGTTCACAATCACACTCCAGAAAGTTCTGTAGTTCAAATAGCAAAGGATTCCTGGGGAAAGGAAATTGGAGAGTGGGAAGAAGAGTGACAAGAAATGAGGTTTCCTAAGAACCTGTCCCTGGGGATTGCCTGCCCCTTCCCTCCACACTTGCTCTGCCCTGACCCACCCACATCCTCTCCTTCCCTGAGTGCTCTCCTGGCCACTCACCACAACTGACATATAGGATAAATACCAGCCAACCAATGAAATAGCTCCAACCAAGGGGAACAGACAGATTCTTCTTCACCTCGAAGATCCAGAGGTTAATAGGGTACAACAGGAGGACAGAGAAAATGAGGGTGACTGTGAGGTAGGAAATAGAGAGGTCTTATTCATCTGAGAATCCCAGAGAAGTACAGTCACAAACTACAACTCCCATGACCACACAGCCCACAGCACCTCACCCCTCCCCATCCCCACCCCCACCAGGCTCACAGGAATCAACCCTTCCAACTCCATCTCTCCAGTGACTCGGAAATGATGTAACTTAACTCTCAGTTCTCTTTTCCCATCATCCCAAAACTCCCATACCACCCCCAAAGAAGGGAGAAGTGCCCTCAGGAAGACATGGGTTAGGAGAACTAAGGACCTTTTTCAGAGCTGGGGGGCACCTTCACAGAAGCTCATGATGGTTCCAATCAAGCCAAAGGCGGGCACTTTCTGAAGTCCGGGCAGGTACGGCAAGTGCAACCAGATGGTGAGCAGGAAGCCTATCCCCAGGGCCAAGCTGAAGATTACTTTGGCTACCCCAAAGACTGGGTGATTCGTCCATATCTTAAAAGTGTCTGAGGAAAATGATAAAATAGGATGAGCTCAGGATTCACTAAAAGATAAAATGTAATCAAATGAATAAACAGGAGAAAATGTTCAGTCCCATTTATAAACCAAAGAAATGCACATTTGTGAAAACAGTAGAACAACTCTTATACTTTTTAAGTAGGCCAAGATTTCCATCCCACCTTACTAGGGATTGAACTCAGGACTTGGGGCATGCTAGGAAAATGCTCTAGCACTGTCTACATCCTGAGCCCACAAGCCAAGGCTCTTGACATGATATTGCTTGATAATTCCATGTGAAAATGAATACCTTGACAGAAAAAAAATAGACAGATTTGAACTGTAATTCTCAAAAAAAGAAATGCAAATGTCAATAAATTTGAAATATAAAGCTCAACATAAATTGATAAACCTGATTTTTAAAAACTACTGAATTAGCAGACATCAGAATTAAGTTGAGGGCTGGGGTTGTGGCTCAGTGGTAGAGTGCTTGCCTAACATGTATAATCCCAGTGACTCTAGAGGTTGAAGTAGGAGATTTATAGGCCAGCCTCAGCAACTTTTTAAGATCCTAAGCAACCTACTAAAACCCTGTCTCAAAATTTAAAAATTAAAAAAAAAAAAGTGCTGGGGATGTAGCTCAATGGTAAAGCACCTCTGGGTTCAATCTCCAGCACACACACATAATTTTTTTAATTAAAAAATAAATAAAATTGATAATACCTACTATAGAAGAGCACATGGAGAAAAGAGGCACTCTCCCATACTGCTGGTAGGTAGCATTTCTGTTGAGTTGTCTGACACAGAATATCAAAATAATTCTGAATTGTTAAGACCCCTTGACCCAGCCACACTTCTTCTGGGAATTTATGTTAAGGACTTATCACCCAAATCTAACTATAGAGATCTTATTTGCAGAGATATTGATATGTCCGACAAGCTCCTGGATTTTCAAGAGATTTGTATAATAAATTACAGTGATTGAATGATTGTTATTCATTAAAAATGGTGACATGAGAGCTGGGGGTGTAGCTCAGCAGTAGCATACTTACCTAGTATGTGCGAGGCCCTGGGGTCCAACCCCATCACCAAAAAAAAAAAAAAAAAAAGTGACACAACAGAAGTTTGTCTCTGAATAGAACTTCTCTAGGAAAAATGTGAGAAAATGGAGAGAGAGACTGACTGCCAGAGGTTGGTGGCACACTTGGCTGAATAATCTTATAATCTTCTCTGTTTTTTGAAAGGTTACTCTGTTCATATATTACCTAATAAAATAAATTTTGAAATTAATGGTTATAAAATAATTGTTCAATGATATGAGTAAGTGCTTACAACCAAAGTGTGGTTTCCAAAACAGAATCTGTTGAATTTAGGTTGCAATTTAGGAAATCCATTATAATGTCCATTGTGATTATATCTATGTAAGGAAACCTTAGGTGATTTTTATTTTCTTTCTTAAAATTTTCTGCATTTCCCACAATAACTGCCACTGTTTTCAATAAGAAACATATTATATATTATATTTTTATACATTTCAATTTAGCCTTGGCTGGCAAACATACAATGAATTAAGCACTTTCACATGTTGTTAGTAGAAGCCTACAGATTGAACATTCCTAATTTGAATCCAACGTGCTCCAAAATCTGAAACTGTTTTGAGTGCTGACAGGACAACACAAGTGGAAAATTCTATGCTGACCTCATATAATGGGTCACAGTCAAAATGCAAGTGTATACTAAAAATATTGTATAAAATTACCTTTATGCCATGTGTATTAAGTGTACATGAAATGTAAATGAATTTGGTATTTAGACTCAGATCCCTCCCTAATAAATCTGATTATGGCTTGGTGTGGTAGTGCACACCTGTAATCTCAGCAGCTCGGGAGGCTGACAGGAGGATCCTGAGTTCAAAGCCAGATTCAGCAATTTATTGAGGCCCAAGCAACTCAAGGAGTCTCTGTATAATAAAAATTTTAAAAAGGGCTGGGGATGTGGCTCCGTGGTTAAGCGCCCCTGGGTTCAATACCCAGTACAAAAAAAGAAAAAGAAAAACTCATTAAGTGTATATATTCCAAATCCTAAAAAAATTAAAAATTGGAAACACTTCTGGTCCTAAGTATTTCAGATTAGGGATGCTCAAGCATGTAATACTTTTGAAGAGGGTGGGGAGTGATTAAGGCTTGAACCCAGGGGCCCTTCACCACTGAGTCATATCCCCAGAGACTGGGTGTCACTGAGTTACTTAGGGCCTTGCTAAATTGCCAAGGTTAGCCTTGAACTTGTGATTCCTCCTGCCTCAATCTCTAGAACCTCTGGGATTACAAATGTGTGCCACTGCAACTGGCTCAATCTATAATACTTTTTGAAAGCAATATGTTTTTTTTTTTTTTTTTTCTTAAAAGTCATAAGATATTTGTACTCTTTGATCCTGTAAACCATCTGGGAAAATTTATCCCAAAGAATTAATTCTCAATATTGGGGGAAAAAATCTTCATAATTAACAAACATTGTTGCTCCTTTTCCCTACTTTTTAAAAAATTTCTTCTCTCTCTCTCTCTCTCTCTCTCTCTCCGTCTCTCTCTCTTTCTGTGCTGGGAACTGAACCCAGGGCCTGGTGCATGTTAAGAAAGTACTATACCACTGAGCTAAACCCCAGCCTGCTCCTGTTTTTTCAAATATGAAATTGGAAAAAAAAAGACATGATATACAAATTTTAAAAAAAAGAAAGAAACTTGAAATAAACTTTCTAATAATAGGAAGATAAAATAACCAAGTGAATGAGGATAAATTGGTTAAATATTATAATCACTTCTAGTAAGGACAACTATTATGTATTAGGAAGACAAAATGTTAAATAATATAAATTATTAATGAACCATATGTACAACTATGTAAAATCCATTGAAAATTTTTCAATTAAAAAAAAAAGAAAAAGCCTGGTCATCTTTGAGTAGTACCACTGAGCGAGATGTTTCCATGAGCTTTAAAACCAGACACATTTGAGTTATAATTCTATACATGCCTTTATCAAGTTCATCCATTCGAAATTGCTTTTTGTAAGTGAGAAGCAGTCAAATATTGCTATTTCATGTGGTTCAACCTAATAACTGTATGAACCTGAACAAGATAGTTAATCCAAGAACCAATTTTCTCTTATGTAAAGTAAGGATAATTATCCCTATCTTTTACAATTGGCTGAGGATTTAATTGAACAAACGGAATAGAAGTGAATATGATAATTTTTGTTTCCCCAAATTTATTGTTATAAAGATGTTTTAGTTTCACAATAGAAGAAAATAATAGCCATATACTCTTTTTTTTTTTTTTTTAAGGAAAATAAATAAATGGAAGTAGGCATCCAAAGCTCTGGTCATTCCCAAGCTGAGAAAGGAAACTCAGTTCCTAAGAGTGAGGGGAGGGCATGAGACTTGAAAGAGAAAGGGATGAGGCCGGGCATGGTGACAAACCCCTGTACTACCAGCTACTTGGAGGCCCAAGCAGGAGGAAAGCAAGTTTGAGGCCAGCCTTAGCAACATAGCAAGGCCCTAAGCAATTTAATGAGATCCTGTCTCAAAATAAGAAGACAAAAAAAAAAAAAAACCAAATAACCCAATCAATAAATGGGCCAAGGACCTGAACAGACACTTCTCAGAAGACGATATTCAATAAATCAACAAATATATGAAAAAATCTTCATTATCCCTAGAATTAGAGAGGTGCAAAATCAAAACTATTCTAAGATTTCATCTCACTTCAGTCAGAATGCCAGATATTATGAGGATTAAACAACAATAAGTGTTGGCGAGGATGTGGGGAAAAGGGTACACTCATACACTGCTAATGGGGCTGCAAATTGGTGCAGCCAATATAGAAAGCAGTATGGAGATTTGTTGGAAAACTGGGAATGGAACCACCATTTGACCTAGCTATCCCAGTCCTCGGTTTATATCCAAAGGACTTAAAAACAGCATACTACAGGGACACAGCCACATCAATGTTTATAGCAGCACAATTCACAATAGCTAAACTGAGGAACCAACCTAGATGCCCTTCAATAGATGAATGGATAAAAAAAAATGTGGCATATATACATAATGGAATTAATCAGCAATAAAAAAGAATAAAATCATGGCATTTGCAGATAAATGAATGGAGTTAGAGAAGATAATGCTAAGTGAAGTTAGCCAATCCCCAAAAACCAAATGCTGAATGTTTTCTCTGATATAAGGAGGCTGACTCATAGTGGTGTAGGGAGGGGGAGCATGGGAGGAATTGATGAACTCTAGATAGGGCAGAGGGGTGGGAGGGAAATGGAGGGGGTATAGGATTAGAAATAGGTGGAATGTGGTGGACATTATCATCCAAAGTACATATATGAAGACATGAATTGGGGCAAATATACTTTGTATACAACCAGAGATATGAAAAATTGTGCTATACATGTGTAATAAGAATTGTAATGCATTCTGCTGTTATATATAATAAAAATTAATTAAAAAATAAGGAATAAATAAATTAATAAATAAAAAGGACTGGAGATGTGGCTCAGTGATTAATCTCCAGTACCAAAATAATAATAATAATAATAATAGGCTGGGGATATAGCTCAGTTGGTCGAGTGCTTGCCTCATATGCACAAGGCCCTGGGTTCAATCCCCAGTACCACAAAAAAAAAATTAATAATAATAAAATTTTTAGGGCTGGGGACGTGGCTCAAGCAGTAGCGCGCTGGCCTGGTATGCGTGCGCCCCGGGTTCGATCCTCAGTATCACATACACACAAAGATGTTGTGTCTGCCGAAAATTAAACAATAAAAATTATTAAAAAAAAATAATAATAAAATTTTTAAAGTAAGGAATGAAGTAGGTAGAAGAATTCAGGGAAGAAAAGAACAAGGAAGTCATCCACAGAAAAAGGAAAGTTCTTGAGACCCAAAGTGGGCTCAGAGAAACAAGGCCTGAGGCAGAAGAAAAGTAACTGGGACCAGGGAGTGGGAGAGAACATTCCAGGGAGTCCTCTAAAAGCTCTGATTATGCCAGTTTAGAAGAAGGAGACCCCCACCTCCAAGCCCTCCTTGGTGGATTCCATGATTCATGAGTGATTTATAAGGGTTGAGTCCACACTCCCACAATATTTATATAAGCACAGACCTGGCTCTGGATCTTATCTAAAGCAGTGCCATTTTCCCTGGGGTCAAGCAAATTGATTTCTCCAGGGTGGAGTGGGAAAATAATCCTTGGAGGTTTCAATGACAGAGGAGTCCTCTTGCAGGTCAAAGAATGAAAATGACCTGGAGAAAGGAGACAAGAATAGCCAGGAACAACGACAGAGGTCAAGGCAGGCTGCGGGAGGCAGGAGGCGAGTCGGAACTCACCTTTCTCATTTTCTACTTGGGAACAGCTCTTAGCTGGGCAGGTATACAGCAGCCCCAGGGACATGACGTGGACTGAGGTGTGGATGATGTTGTTTATATCCTTGGGATAGCGCTTATAGAAGCGGCTCCCGGAGGGGTGTAACCATGTCTTGGAGAAGACCATGATCAGCATGAAGATGAAGGCCACTAGGCTGAGCTCTGAGGCTGCCACCTGCGCCATCCAGCGGGAGCTATGTGTCATTCTCCATTGCAAGGGCAATGCGGAGTTCCGGCGATGATCCGAGGACGATTGCTTTTTACTGTTGGGAGAAGGGACAGAGGTCTGCAGATCCTCTCTTGTTGCCCCAGGCTCACCTCAACTCTGCCTCCCAGCCTTCCCCCTTCCTTTCCAGGCCTCAGATGTTGGTCTCCTTTCTCCTTCTGACCCCTAGAAACTCTGACCCCCTTCTTTTGCACCCCTTTTCTCCTCTATCCCATCTCCTCCTTCCCTTGCTTGGCTTACTTGTCCATCATCTTCTGAATATTTCCATCAAGCAGTCAGTTGCCAACATAGGGCCTGGGGTCTGGGAAAGAATGGGGAGCCTCTTATTAGGAATTTAAGCTCCAGATCCAAGAAAAGGCCCCCAAACCATTCAGCAGAACAGGGCCCCTAACTGCCATGGAATATTCCTGGGGAGCAGTGAGATGGGGGAGGGGACCATGGCTTCAACTCTAATCCTTTCTCAAAACTCTTGTTCCTTAGGCACCAGCCCAGAACCGTGGATCTGAGATGTTCTTCAGCTTCTCTCTTCACTAAGGCAATGGTCTCTGAGGATTTCCTTTTTTCTTCCTATTTCTTCTGCCCTAACCCCAATCCCAAATCCTCACCGATGGAGCAGGGGAAGGAGAAGAAAGGGGTCCTCTGGAAAAACAACCTCCCTCCATTGTCCTTTGGATGAATCTTTCAAGTGTCACCAGCCTTCCAACAACTTTTCCCAAACCCTTTCCTTCTTCCCATCTTTACTCACTTCCGGTCAACAGTCACCAACCCCTTCCCTCTTCCCTTTATCTCTCTTCCTTTTTTCTCAGAGCTAGAATAGGGAAAATATATGATGAAGAGAAGCCTGGGGGTATAGATAGATTGAGAAGACTCTTCCAACCTCCTTTTTTTTTTTTTTTTTTTTTTTTAGGTGTAAATGGAGACAACACAATGCCTTTATTTTTATGTGGTGCTGAGGATCGAACCCGGGTCCCGCCCATGCTAAGTGAGTGCTCTACCGCTGAGCCACAATCCCAGCCCTCCAACCTCCCTTTTAAATTATTTTTTTTATATTTTTAGTTGTTGATGGACCTTTATTAATTAATTAATTTTTATGTGGTGCTGAGAATCGAACCCAGTGCCTCACACATACTAGGCAAGTGCTCTACTACTGACCCACAGCCACAGCCTCCCTTTTATTTTAAGAAAATAATTGAGATACCCGTGACAATCTGATCATAGTGGCTTCCAGACCTCAGTTAGCCCCTGGAACTCTCGTGAGTTTTCAGATTTAGGAAATGAGTTTGAACCCCGCCAGAGCTGATTTCCTTCCTGGAGACAATGATATACATGGTTAAGAACACAGGTTTTGGGGTCTGATAGCAGAGGCACAAAGAATGGAGCTTCCCCTTAATAGCTTTGTGAATCTGGATGTCATATAAACCTTTTTATGCCTAAATTCACTCATCTATTAGAAAAGGACAATACCACTTGTCTCATACATGGACTTGGCTTGAGTATGGAATGAGACAATAAACAAAAGCACACACTAGTCCATAGTAAATTCCCAGTAAGTGTAGTTCTTACTGTTAAATTATCATTTTTAGCCAGGCATGGTGGCACACACCTGTATTCCCAGTGACTTGGGTAGCTTTGACAGGAGGATTGCAAATTCAAGGCCATCTTGTGTGTGTGTGTGTGTGTGTGTGTGTGTGTGTGATTTTTAGTGTACAGACTTCTCAGTCCCAAATCCAAAAACACAAACAGGAAAGGAGCAAAAGCATAATCTGGGCACAGTGTTGCACGCCTATAATCCCAGCAGCTCGGGAGGCTGAGGCAAGAGAATCACAAGTTCAAAGCCAGCCTCAGCAGTTTAGCAAGGCCCCAAACAACTCAGTGAGACCCTGTCTGTAAATAAAATATTAAACAAGGCTGGGGATGTGGCTCAGTGCTTAATCACCCCTGGGTCCAATCCCTGGTACAAAAGGAAAAAAAAAAAATCATAAAGGATAATTCCTGGCAGGCATTAGTGCATACTAGTGGCTGCAAAGTGGAATTCAAGTTAATTTATTCAGGAGAGTTAACTCTGAATCCCAAAGTCACATGCATATTAGGACCTCAGAAACTGGGAATCTTAGATTCAGATCCTGGTCTCTTCCCCTCCCTGAGCATCTTGCTCCTCTGCCAACCAGCCTGCTTCTCTGCTCTTGTGCACACAATGGGAGATGAGGCCCTCAAGTCAAGAGCTGTGCATCTGACACCTTTGACTGCCAGAGTACAGACTTCTCAGTCCCAAATCCATATATTCTCTATCCCTGCCAGGGACAAATGGCATCCTTAGAACAATCAGCCTTGTGCCAGACGCGGTGGTGCACAATGTACTCCCAATGGCTCAGGAGGCCAAGGCAGGAGGAACACGAGTTCAAAGCTAGCACTCAGCAACTTAGTGAGGCCCTAAGCAATTTAGTGAAACCCTGTCTCTAAATAAAATATTTTAAAAGGCTAGGGATGTGGCTCAGTGGTTAAGTGCCCCTGAGTTCAATCCCTGATACAAAAAGAATTAAAAAACATTCAGCGTTGGTCAGGTCTACCATGCGGCCTGCGCAATGGTTTCATTAATGAGGTTCTTGGCATAAAGTTAGTTAGAAGAGATCGAAATAAAACACACAGACTTAGTTACCTTATTTCTATTGCCAGGTCCGAGACGGCTCCCCTCTCTGGCTCCGACCTCTAACTGCCCAGCAGGGCAGCAAGGATTACTCAGGGCTAGCAGGAGAGAGAGAGAGTGAACACGCCAGGGAGTAGCCTTTTATTGGGGAACAAGAAATTCAGGGGATAATTCCATCCAATGAAGGTTGAGGGGGGACTGCACTCCAAGGTCAGGGTCAGTGATTGGGCCCCCGGGGTCAGTGGTCAGTCACACCCCCACACGGACGGGTTCTCTCATCAGGAAAGGGCCGGGAAAATTCCGACACAGCCAGAAGCCTCAGACCCTTAACGGGAGTCGCCCAGTCACGTGTCAGGATGGCTTCCCACAGTCAGGGGCACTGAGTCAAGAGGCTGAATCCTGAAGATGGGAGGAGTTGGAGACAATGCTGGAAGAGCGGGTGCTGAACCCTTTGGGAATGTCATTCACACAGAACCAGAGATCATCAAGATTATTTCCTTTCTTGAATTCTTTTAGTTTTTTTCTGGAGTTTCTAAACATTTTTAGTAAAAACAACCAGTTTTCAAACAACACATAACATGGAAGAATCTTAGAAATATAATATTTTCTAAAGAATATAACTCCTGGAAAATTACACTATAATAAATGGAATACTACTTTTTTTTATAGAGCTCTTAAACAAGTAAAACTAAACAAAACATAGTTTAAGCATACATACATTTACAATTGCATGATATGTTTTTAAAAGCAATGGGCAAATTGGTGTACAACTATAATCCCAGAAACTCAGGAAGCTGAGTTGATCTCCAGTTCAAGGCCAGCTCCAGCAATTTAGTGATACCCTATCTCAAAACAAAAATAAAAACAGCTGGGGATGTAACTCAGTGGTAGAACATCCCCTGGGCTCCATCCTTCATAGCAAATAAATAACATAGTAATGGAATAATAAATATGAAATATCATATGATGGTGACTTCTCATGGGAAGTAAAAAGTAGAACAGGGAATGTTACTCTAGCAAATGTATATTACTGATAATAGTCCAGTTCCTGGGTTAGGTGACAGGTGCACAAGGATTCATTATAATTTTTAAGTAATATTGATTTCATGTAATTGTATGAATACATGAAATATTGTTTTTCTAAAGGTAACTAAAGGCTGGGCATGGTAGCTCATGCTCCTTCTGGAAGGAACATTGAAAGTTCCTTATCCCTTTTCTAAAAGTTCGCTAAGTAACCTTGGCAACTTAGTGAGACCCTGACTCAAAATAAAAAATAAAATGGATTGGGGGTGTAGTTCAGTGGTAGAGCACCCCTGGATTCAATGCCTAGTACCACCACCCAAAAAATAATAATAATTAAAAATAGTTCAAGATAGGAAATGTTATCTTAGCGATTACTAACTTGGCAATGGAAGATATTTATATTGCCACAATATGTAATGTAAACACTCTTCACTTAGTTTAGACTCTTCAAGTCAACAGATGGACAAAGCACGGAAAACTTAATTATAGCTTCAAAAGTAAACACAGCAGCTTTGACATTGCCTAACCAAAAGCCTAGAAGAGGTAAACTGGAAGGTGGAAGGAGGAGAGTTGAGAAGTAAGGGGACATCCCTAAACTGATGTAGTGAGAGAGTTGGTGAATAAATTCCCAAACTTCCTTGTCCCTAGATGCCCCTAGATTAGGATAACTGATGCACGTCCTATAGCAGGAACAGGCAAACATTTTCTGCAAAGGTCCAGATAATACATATTAGGCTTTGTAAGTCATATAGTCTCTATTATAAATACTGATCTTGGCTAACATATTGTGAAAGCTGTCACAGACCATATGTGCCTAGGTAGGAATGGTTGTTCCAATATATAACACTTTGCTTTATGGCCCTAGCCATAATTTACCCAATCCTTCTGTCTCCCAGAGTTCCCAGTGGGATTAAGCTCCAATTCCCCTGGTAATAATTGATTTGATATCTTCTATTGACTTTCTTCCCTTCCTTGTTCCATTTCCTTATCCTTTTTCTAAATGTGTCATGGGGTTAACTCCCAGTAACTTCTTGCAATCAACTCTTTATCTTGCGGTTGGCTTCTGGGGGAACCCAAATGAAGACAGGTAAGAACTATTATGACCACTGTTTTTTTTTTGGAAGAAGAAACAAAGAAGTTGAGCAATTTGCTCAAGGTCACAGAGCTAGTAAGTTTTGGGGCCAGCACTGGAATCTGGACAGTCTCACTCAAGAGCTGTGCATATATTCCAAGCAACCCAGAATATTAGCAGAGTGGAAAAGGGACACCATGGACAGAGAAGTGAGGATACTTACCCAAGAATGAAAGGAATTCCCAGAGTAGAGGGGAGGACAAAGAGACACAAGGACTTTCTCCTGGCAGCATTGTTA